TGTTATGTACCCAATATATAGGTTATGGGCTTTTATTAGGAAGTTATATTATATTAGTAGTTTAGTAATTTAGCTACTTATTTTATATATTAGTTTTATTATAGTATGAGATAGGTTTGGGCTTTAGTTATGTGTTAGTATGAATTGGGCTTAGCCTTTATTATAGTCAATGGGTTGATGGCTTAGTATTTGTATTAGGTCTTTATAAATAGGTGGATGTTAGCAAAGGAAAAAGAACAAGAAGTAATATCATTATTTTCTCCCTCAATTTCTCTCTTCAATATTCTCTCTCCCCCTCACGTGTTCTACTCTCATCTCCCTCCCCAATTTCTTCCTTTCCCCTCTTCTTCTCAAACTAAAACCAGAAAATCATACAAAAAAATACAGAAAATATTACAACAATTTCCAGAAAACCAAGTTCACAACAATTGGTATCAGAGCAGTCGATCCTCGGACCATGGAGGATGAGCTTCTTCTCGACCAGTTAGAGCTGCAACAAAAACATATGGAGCAAAAATTAATGGTGGAAATCCAAAAAAGTGAGGCTAGCCATTTGAAGATACAAAGCCAAATTGATGGGTTCAAATCAAGCATCCCTGGGTTCAAATCAAATTTTCAGGAGCAGATGCTTGGATTGAATCAAAAATTGGATCAAGCCATTCAGGTAGCTGAATCCATTCAACAACTCATTTTCAATCTTCAAAACAAAAATCAGAAAACGAATCTCCCAGCTCAATCGTACCCAACACAAATTCTTGCCAAATCAATCTCCATTCCAAACCCTCCAAACTCTCAGCCATTTTTTCATGAAATTCAGAAGAAAAATCCAAGGCCAACTTCAAGTGAAAATCAACAACAAAACACCACAACCCAAAAACCAAACAATTTAGAATCGCATCCCATTTTTCACGAAATTCACGAGGAAAAGACTGAAGAACATGAAGGCTCAGTGTTGATCCAAAAACCGATCGAAATTACAAAGAAAGAGCCAATACGTGTGGCAGTGATCGAGCATACATACCTGGAAACAACACAAATCGGCGAGTCGGTTGAGGTATCATATCCGACTTTAGTGGATATTCAAATGCCAAAAATCCAGAAATCTGAGGAAGTTCTCGACAATCCAGAGGATTTGGTGCCTAACCTCATCGGTGAATTACTTGAAGCCCCAAAGCCACATGAGCAGATCTTCAAACTGGGACCAAATTCAATGGGACTGTTCCAAGAGAAATCGATGATGTTAAGATGGGCGTGCTTCGTGATAGACCGTGGAAGACGAGCACGGAGCCAGGGCTATGTAAAGAAGACGATGGTGAAGTTCGGCGGCGGCCTCGAGGAGGCTTGGTCTCGCCGGCCTCCGAAACGTATCGGTAGACGTAGATCTTACTCACGAAGAACCACAAAGGAGCGGTGTTGGTCCTTCCTCGTCGGAGTTGCAGCAACGACAAACGAAAAAGGTAAGGGGATTCGCCGTCAAACCTGCCGGCCTCGCGGTTACGAGAAGAACCAAAACGGCTGTCGGGAAAAGGCTAAGATCCATCAAATTCACAATAGCGGCAGGCGTTCGGAAGCGTGGTCTTGCCGGATGTGGAAACGCGGTGGTGGATCGGGAATTCAAACTGAAATCATGAAAGAGGTCCGCAGCCACGGAGGAGCCCAGAAACACGGCGGTCGGTTAGAAGCTTGGTCTCGCCGGCTTCCAAAAAAATGACGGCCTGTCGATTGCTCTTGCCGGATCGCTAAAACGCGAAGGTCACCGGCGCCGGATTTTGAACGGTCGCGATCGAGGTTAACTTCTGTGGTTACGGATGATTCTGGAAACCGAAAAGGGGTTGAGAATTGGGCTGACAAAATACTAATGATTTATGGGCCAACTTCACATGGGACTTGGTCATTTTATTGGGCTGCGGGTCATTTTGTGGATTTTGGACTGGGCTCAAGCATAATTGGTTTTGGGCCTAATCACTTAGGAATGGAAAATGGCAGCTTGAAGAAGAAGAGGACTTTTGCTGGACTACATTATCTGAATTTGGGTTGGGTTACTGCAGTTAGGAAGCTTAAAAATTGGGCCAATTATTGCCAATTAACATGGATTACCTTTGAGCTGCCACAAGAAGATTTTACTTTCGGGCCTTTGAAGATTTTGAAAGGGGAGCTATTGGATGCAATACCTACATTTTCAACGTATGAGTCTCGAGGACGAGACTCTTTCGAGAGGGGAGTAATGTTATGTACCCAATATATAGGTTATGGGCTTTTATTAGGAAGTTATATTATATTAGTAGTTTAGTAATTTAGCTACTTATTTTATATATTAGTTTTATTATAGTATGAGATAGGTTTGGGCTTTAGTTATGTGTTAGTATGAATTGGGCTTAGCCTTTATTATAGTCAATGGGTTGATGGCTTAGTATTTGTATTAGGTCTTTATAAATAGGTGGATGTTAGCAAAGGAAAAAGAACAAGAAGTAATATCATTATTTTCTCCCTCAATTTCTCTCTTCAATATTCTCTCTCCCCCTCACGTGTTCTACTCTCATCTCCCTCCCCAATTTCTTCCTTTCCCCTCTTCTTCTCAAACTAAAACCAGAAAATCATACAAAAAAATACAGAAAATATTACAACAATTTCCAGAAAACCAAGTTCACAACACTCACGTACTCATTTTAAGGAGTGGTCTCATTGGATCCATCCCCTATATATATATATGTGATATTTCATAGATATAGTTAACTTATTTTTTAAGTTATTTAATTTATTGATATTTTAAATATATAATACTTTATAAATATTAAATATAGTTGACTTATATTTAAAAGTGTTAGAATTTATACATAAAATTTATTTGACCGGNAAAAAAAAAAAAAAAAATCACTGGTTGAACCAACCGGTTTTTTGGCCAGTTTTGGCAGGTTCGACCGGTTCAACCGGTCATTGACTGGTTTTTAACCGGTTTTGGCCACAACCGGTTTCTTCCATTGAAACGGACCGGTTAACTGGCCGGTTCCCGGTTCAACCGGTCGGACCGGCCGGTTCGGTCCAGTTTTGACAACTATGGGCGAAAGCACAAACAGTGTTGAATATTCCCGAATACGTTGATATATATGTCACATCACTATTACTTGGAATGGGTCGGGTCGGTCACATTCGGGCGCTATAACAGAAAAGAATGATTACCCCTGTCGGGGCGGTCCACATTGACAGGTACATTTAACATTTTGGGTCATTTTTTTCTTTTTAAAAAAAAAAAACTAAATTATTGTTATGATTATGCAACCATATATTTTTTCAACAAATAAACATATTTTAAATTAGAAATTTCATACTTACAAAAATAGCATACACAAAATTATGACACTTGAAGACATAAATATGCAATTATGTTAAAAAGGTATTATGGATTAGCCTGTGACGGGTCTGGTTCCTAGCATATTTTTTAGGAATGGAACATAAACAAAATAACTGGTTTGACTAACACGAAAAAGGCCGGGGACAGCTCGTAGTTTTCGACCAGTGGCTCATGGTAAACCTTTTTCTTCAGCTCGAAGTTGTTCTTTGTGAACGGTTGGTTCTATTTGTAGAGGTGGCGAGCGTCATCCTTGGCTTGGGCCATCTCCTTCTTGAGCTCGCCTGAACAGTTCAGCTCCTGGTCGAGCATGGGCACTATAGCGGTCAAACAGTGCAAGCAGGAGTCATATTAGCAAGCTATTTTAGTGTTATTTGGCTGAAGGTCGAAATCAAATAAACAAAGACAAACCTGAGCCAAGTGTCCGAGCAGCGTAGTCCGACCTCTTCTGGCGTTCGTCGCCCCAGCGACCAGTGTCGGGGGCCGACAACACCTTGGAGGTTAAGCTCGAGCCGACAACCAGCGATGAAGGAGGAATGACCTCCTCCACATGCTCTACCTCCTCAGCGCGGTCTGGGTCGATGCGGCCTTTTTTCTTTGGGTCTGCGTTAGACACAGAGGGGGTGGGTTGCTTCTTGGTCTTCTTGACCTACTTGTCAATCGTCTTTTCGACTTGGTGGGAGGAGGTCGAACTCCTCCCCTTAGGGAGCCTCCCTCAATGATGATGACCTCCCTAATAGATGGTCAAATGCTAATATTTGACCACAATATGTTAACTTATTTACCTTATTGTCATTACATGTTTGACTACATTATTAAAGTTTGACTTGATCATGATCACTGATTTGTTAAATCTAAAGGTCTACATACATTTTTATTTCTTTTACTATCCCTCTTCTCATATGATCCTAACTCTCTCTCTCTCTATCTATATATATATTTGAATTCTAAAGGCTTCGAATTTTGATAAATTAGATTACCCATTTTTCAGGTGATGTGTAAAACTCATACTATTGTCAAGAATGTTGCATGTAATAGCTCAAAATTATGTGAAATATAATTGGAAAGGCTTATCCAATGTGTTTTGTCTTCTCTGTGAGTCAGGACTCGGGTAATGCTCATATTGACATTTTATAAGACCACACATACATACATATTCACTTGTACATACGTATGCCATATATCATTAGTCATGGGACTAAAACCACAAAATAGGATAAAAAGGCACGCAAGACCACCATTTCATCCTCCAGAAAGCATTAAATATATTTGTTTATACACAATAAATCCAAACACACTGTCATGCGGTCAAGTCTCCTGACATGATATTCTTCACGGAATAGTATTACCAAACCTCTGCTAAAACAACATAAATTCTCAAGAATTGAGGCACTAAATTATATTCCTTTTCCCTTTCTGTATAATAGCAACTATTCTCTCTTTCAAGAGTAGAATTGGTAGTGTTTTGCTTGAATTATGATCTGCCTTAGCCCTCCAATTGGTGCTATAATCATCAACATCACACCAAGTATGATGCATATCTGAAATTTTTCAACAGTATGAACAACAAACAATCAGCACCTAATAAAATTGTTTCGAGAATTTAAGATGCTATATATTCTTTAGTTCAACTTACCCAGTTAGCAAACCAGGACAGACTGAATTTCCTAGGTTTGTAGATGGCAAGCCACATGATGCAGGGAAGCTGATGAACAAAAGTTTCAACAACATTACCAATGGTTTTGTAGTGACTGAAGATATCTTATTATTCTCATACAAGTTAATCATATATGCAGTAAATGTAAACTTACGAAATATGTGGTCGGCGCAAAAGCAAATCCACCGAAAAATCCTAGCAGCCCACCAAAGAAGGGGAAGGTAATTCCAACAAACATTGTAAATGCTGAAAAAAAATAAAAAAAAAAAAAACAGAATAAGACGATAAGTACAAATTCTTAATAAATAACCTCGCAAATGGATATTTTTTAGAACAAAGTAGTATGTGGATTCGTTCATCGTAAGCTTAATGTACGTACCCACGTAAAGATTCCGAGAGATAAAGCGCAAGTACCATGTAGGCTTAAACCTGAGCTTCTTCACTAGTACGGTTTCGATCATGTCAAAAACCGGCATCGCATATATCTGCACGAGTATATAACCGAACCAACACATATTACTTATCTTGTCCAACAACCAAACACATGTATATATATGCATANACAAAAAAAAAAAAAGAGAAAAAACGAGCTTCGATTCACCTGATAACTTCCGATAACATGAACCACAACAAACATGTTAGCCATGGCGATTAGCCACACGGGCTTCCCCAAAGTCAATAAGATATTATCCTCAACACCATTACCGAACTTCCAGTAGCCGATGAAGGCCACTGGAAAGTAGCACATAGCAACAACAATATAAGCCACAATAACTCCTCTCCACATGGCTATCTTCGAAGGCTTCTCGGGTGTCGAAGGTATCGTGGCTTGTATTTCCAACACTACATTGTGACCCGCGTACGCAAACGCCACATCACCCAATGCACTGAAGAAGTTTAAAACTGTGCCAGCTGTCGTCGAAGCCCTGTACCCATACTGCACATCGGGTTCCTTTCCTTTTCCAACCGAAGCCCCCCAAGCAATCGTAGAATAACTTCATGTAACACAAAGTTCAAAATTCATCAAGATTTTTTTCAAACAATGTTGGAATATTTGTGTACTTATAAATAGAAACGTACCTTAAAGACATGACAGCTGCGGCCAATGAGACACCGGAGATAGAATTGAAGTTGGGGAGATGGGAGAGGACAAAATGGACAGAAGCAAATATCATTATGAAATAAGTGAGCTTTATGTCTTTGCAATCATTGCAAACCAAATCGTGAAATCTTTTGAGCGATCTTCCTCCGGTGACCATATAAACAATGTCGACCCCAACTTCGACCACGAGCTGCTGAGGCACGACAATGTAGAGGCCGAGCTTCTCGCCAAAGGCATACTGGCCGAGCTCGTGATACCTGTCGAAACGCCTCCCAGGGACCATTTCGTGCATCTCAACCATTTGCCACAGAGTGTATAGTGTGATGATCCATGATATCACCATAACCGTTACTCCAGGACCCCTGTTAAAATTTATATTCAATTAATCGTCACAAATTATCGTTTTTTTTTTTTCTTTGGCGAATGGGATTTGACTGTTTTTACATTTTACGTACCATCCTAATTCGGACATGGCGTAAGGGAGACTGAGGACTCCAGCGCCAACCATAGCAGTGACATTGTGGAAAGCAGAGTACCACCATTNAAATAAATGTGATTCTAGTTTGAAGATTACTTCACTGAATATGTTGTAAATATTATGGTCCAATGCAACCTGGTTTGACTATAATATATAATGTCATGATGATCTTCTTTCATAAATTAATTCTTGCACAAATTAGGAATTGGGGGCTATATTAAATCTTTCTGAAGTTAAATTTATTGGGAAAGCACACGCCAAGAAGGCGAGAGTCAAGATCAAACGGATCCGTTAAGGTAATCTAAAATGCACACATACTCACCATTGGCACATTAAGATATTCGGATACCTATAAATCACAAGTCAAAATCTCGTAATTTTTATTTTTTTTAATATCATACTGTCACATTATACTAGTGGGCATTTTCAACTGTGTGAAAATCACTTTTCCATGACTTTTTCATTATGGACAAACCTTATAAGTTATAATACAGACAAGTGTGATTTTTGGCACTTACTACCTCTTCATATCAACTTGGATGATGAAATGAAAGTTAGCATGAATACTTTTTTT